AAAATTAACCAAAAATAAACCAAGATACAGAAGTATGGAAGGACTAATTAGAAAACACAGTATTACACATCAGTGGTACTGCACAGATTCTACCATGAATGGAAATACTGACATAAGTCTAAATATTTCACACACACACACACACACACATATATATATATATATATAATAACATTGCACTGTAAAATTATGCTATTTTTATTGCATTTAAATCAGAAAAAAATATTGTACCTATTTTTGCCATTATTTAAAAGAATTTTTTTTTTATTAAAGAATAAAAAAAATGGCTAATATTATTTTACGCTTTCCCTGTTTTGTAAAATTACAGATAAGATTATAGCTAGCCAAATCACAAAAAATTACAAATTTTATATTTTTATCTTTTCAGTTTGACTTTAAAAGTATACATTATTTTTGCTACATGTAAATATATATATAGAATTATTTTGCAAATACAACAGCAATTATTTTATAGTTTTATTTATTTATTTATTACAGTATTTATTTATTTTAAATCTAAATTTTTAGGCACCACACTGCCAGAGCGACTGGGTTTATGTTTGGGTTTATCTGTTGGGTGCTTTAGGTGAAATCAGAAACAAGAAATAACAGAGAAGGTAGGAAACTGCAGCAACTGTGGAGTTTGTATTGTTTGAATCATGAGGTTTTATTCTATTCAAACGATGTATAATGTGTTTTACGGTGGACGCCAGTGAGAATGAACTTCTTTTTTTAATCAAAGACCAGATATTTATGAATGCATTGGCTAATCTGAGACAACCGGGAAAGCTTCATGTTCATCCAAACCAGAGAGGTTTCCAACTGAGAGCTGGAATTGGACTTTTAGAACTGCCGTTCTGGAAGCAGAGGAGTTTTTTGATAAACGGTTAAAATGCGTTTCACATCTCAGGTAAAGACTGAGCTGGTTCCTGTTGCACCGAGGTCAAAGACAAGTCAGATAACGTGTAAATGAGAGCCGCAAATGGAAGGTCGACTTTCAGGAAGGAGAGGAAACGAAGAGGAAAAGGAGCTTTGAACAAATTAATTGAAAAAGCTTCGAGGCAAAGAGGAAACCAATGAAACAAATCAAAGGGGAAGTGAGAGGAAACGTTCCTGAAGAGGCTCCACAGATGTCAGCAGTAATATCGTCTAATTAATTGTTAATGGCGGCATTAAGAGGTGACTGGATTTAAAAGCAGCAGTTATAGAGTTAATTAAAAGCTGCAACTCAGAGTCGAGCTGAGAAAAGAAACCGTAAAAAAACCCGCCGAGGAAAATATTCAGGAAGTAAAATGAGACCAGAGGGAGTTTTCCTTCTGGCTGCAGGAGACATCTTGGATTTAACTCAGTTCTGTTCTGCACCGACAATATGGA